TACCGTAAAAGATGAACAAAAGGAGATAAAAATAGAATCACAAAAATAAAATAATTAATGGCCAAGCTCGGGTGTCTCAGAGCATGTATTTGCAATGCCTCTGACCTGGATGTCTTTGGGTTCGACAGGATGCAGGATTATAGACACTAGCTTGTCCGCTAGAACGGATTCAGTTTGAAGGAAAATTCTAGACGCCAGCTGCTCTGATTCGGGCCTATGAACACCAGGCGAATGCCGGAGCAGTACCCTAACCAACTGGCCACGGAGCGTGCTCGATCTTTCCTTCCCCTCTTACACACAAACATGCACTACAAAACCACGTATGTCGGGAGACTAGCCGAGAGCTTAGAGCTTGTGACATGTCCTCACTGGTGGAAGATACCTGGTTGGGGAAAACTCCGCTTGCCGACATGTAGGAGGGCGTCGAATATCACCATACAGTGGGGGAGGATCATCGCCACCTTCTGCAATAAAACATAAACTACACTTACGGTACTAATAACCTTCGCAGGTGACGCGTGCGGAATCACTAACCAAAGAAATTTCAGGAAGAAAAGTTCCAGATAAGAAAATGAAATGATTGTAGGAGAAGAAAAATCAGATTGTGGAGATTGATGAAGAATATTTCGTGTGTCGAGTGCCCTTGCTGTTATCCCCGCAAGTAAAGTGCCTGTTTTCATCACTGACATTTGCGGTGATACTTCCCCTGTGTTATGGTGTGATCTGGTGCCGACCTAGCTATCCTACTAGTGCCAAAAACCCTGCTACCACCTTCGGACTTGAACCCTAAGATCTGTCACTGAGATTCCCTACAGTTGGTTCCCTCAGCCACCTAAGCAGGTTGGTAATGAAAAAACAAAAGTGGAAATAAAGACGAAAGAGAATAAGAAGAAACTAAGAATTAAGATACAAAAAAATAAAAGAGGGGCAGGAGTATTAAAAGAAACACGAGAAGAAAAAGAAAAGCAACAGGAAGAATAGACCACAAAAGACGAAACAAGAGAGAAGAAAGTGGGCAAAAAAAATCAGAGAAAAGAGAAACGGAGAAGAAATATTAGTAAAAATAACAAATAGAAAATAAGAAACAATAGGAGAAGAAGAAGCACGAGAAGAATAAGAGGTAAAACAAGAAGAAAAAGCAAGATAAGTCGAAAGAGGAGAAGAGGAAGCAGAGTGGAAGGCAGTGTGGCCCGCCGCAACCACAATGCCTAGAGGGGCCGGGCAATTGGCAGCCCCCGGGGGCCCGCGGCAGATGAAAGGGCGGCGAGCGTTTCGGAAGGCAAAGCCAGCGGAACCGGGTCGGCATCGACCCCGGGGCCATCTTATGAAGCGGCGCGATAGAGAGCGCTTCCACTGCGAACGAGGTCGCGCGCGGCGCTGCCCCGGACAAAAAGACGCCGCCGCGTGCGCAGTAATGAGGTGCATTGTGGGTCGTGGGCGGCGCGCCCGCTCTACTAATTTCGCTCTTAGACGGGCCGCAGACATTTATCAGCCAAAGTAAACAAAGAGCCAGACAGGTGTTTACCATTTATTTAGTTATCGGGACTTAGGGGAACTTCGTGTACGAAGGCCATTATGGGTCAATGAGAGATGATTCAAAGCGTCGATAGGGATAGTGATGATGGGATGAATGATGAAGGTAATGATGGAATTAGAGGTAGGTGAAATTGAGGGACTTCTATAAAACGAGCCGAGAGCTGTCTTTGCTCACCACGAATTCTATATGGGTGTGCGGGGTATTGAACCTGGTACAGCTGTGGAAGGCGTGAAAGCTAGCCAATAAGCCACGAGCCCTCCTGCACTGCCATCTTAGAGCTTAATTCTCAATCGCCGATTCCCGTACGTAGTAATGATTCTGTTACGCTATTCCTGAACGTGATGTGAGGGAGAATAATTCTTAAATTTTAAAGAAATATTTCGAGAAAAGTAAACAACATGTTTTTGTTCACTTTTGAAAATGACACATTTTATGGTTGAAACGTACGTTTTAATAATGTTACATTCCCCTGTTGTGATCGTAGTTAGGAATATTTTTGAAACTTTGCTAAAATTACTGGATTGCTGTACTAAATATCTTGTATGAACCCCAATGAGAGATGGGAATACCTCTTCCTCAGTTGATCCATTAGTGAAAGATGACCAATTTTCAATTTCTTCTATTTTTTGTTAATTTATTTCCAAACTTATTTTATTATCAATTATTTTTTTCTGTTAGGTACACGTTATACTTACACAATTTTGGGAATTCCTTGAAATTGTATAAATCATTATAATATAAAATATGAAATGTGGAAGCAGAGTGGGAATTCAGAGGGAATGAGTAGGGCTACGGGATGATAGAGTTTACCAGGGGATTTGGTAGAGATAAACATCTCGTCTCTATCTCATTCTCAATTTCCTTCTGAACAAACTTCCCTCTCGCCAACATCACGCGGCGAAACCTCCGCCATCTGAGAAGATGAACGTAAGAAGGTGACAGTGTAGGCGGGGGTTGAGGATATGTTTGTGTGCATGTGACGAGTAATCATAACGAATACACACATGATTTATGACTTGTCTGGTGATGGCTTCATGTGTCCGTGGGGGTTTGGAGTTGGGTTGAACATGCGAACAGGGGTGTGGGTGGTCAGGAATAAGGAGTAGGTGTCGTGAATGAAGACAAGATATTGTGGGTGAAGAGTGGGAAGTCAGGAATAAAGAGGATTATTCAGGAATGAAGAGTGGTTAGTCGTGAATGAAGAGTAGGTGGTTCAGTAAAGAAGAGTAGAGGAATAAGAAATGGATGCTCTGGAATGAAGTGTGGGTGTTTGGGAATGACCAGTGGATGGTCTGGAATGAGGAATATGTGTTCTTGAATGAAGAGTGAATGTTGGGGATGAAGGGTGTGAGGTCAGGAACAAAGAGAAATATTCGGGAACGAAGTAGGAAGACGTGAATGAATAGTAGGTGGTTTAGAAAATACGAGTACCAGTAATCAGAATTAGAAATGGGTGCTCTGAAACGAAGTGTGAATGCTTGGGAATGAGCAGTGGGCGGTCGGGAATGAGAAGTGGGTGGTCAGTAATGAAGAGTGAGAGGTTAGGAACAGAGAACATTTTTGAGAACGAAGAGTGGACATTCGCGAATGAAGAGTAGGTGGTTTAGGAAACAAGAGTAGGTGATCATGAACAAGAAATGGGTGCTCTGGATTGAAGTGTAGGTTGGGAATGAGCAGTGGGAAGTCCAGAATAAAGAGGAGCTAGATTTTAAAGAATGAAGAGCGAATATTGGGAACGAACAGTGGGTGGTCGACAATGAAGAGTAAGTGGTTGGGAGTGAAAACGACTGGTCGTGAATGGCGAGTGGGCGACGCGTAGCGAAAGAGAACGAATCGCAAACGGGATGGAGCTGACGCGGGGCCGAACGGCAGTGAACGTCAAGCTTACCGCCTAGCGAAAGAGAACGAATCGCAAACGGGGCGGGGCTGACGCGGGTGCCGGGCAGCAGTGAACGTCAAGCTTCAAGCGGCAAGGTGGTTCAGAAGCGGACCTCAGTCGCAGTGGCGAGGTGGGCGTCGCTGGATCGAGAGCGGGAGATCGGGAGCGAGCGCCCGCAAAAACCCGCCCGGCGACGCAGCCACTGGCCGTCCGCAGCCCCGGGAGACAGCCGCCAGTCGCCGGAAGCGGCGTCTTTCTCTGCTTCCTGCTCTCTGGGTCGGCGCGCGCCTCCGGGCGGCGCACCAGATACGCCAATCAGAGCCCCACCGCCTCGGGGGCGGCCACGCCCCGAACTCGCACCAGAGCTGGCCTGTTTCCTCGCCTCTTCTTCCGTTTCCCGTGTTTCTATTTACATCATCGCTTCAGCATCACTCACAGCCTATCATTTTATCAGATCGTTTATCCATTTACAAGCGTCTCCACTGGCGATTTTTACATAAATGAAAAAAAGGAAATGCGAGTAAATGTATATTTCTTGGTGAGATTACGGATGGGTTTGAATGTGTTGTAAAGTAAGAGACGTAAAAAGACTTCTATGAACTGTCCTATTTTTTTAGTACACATATTTAATTATACTTATTGAAATAATAATAGATAATTCATTGTTAATTTTAATTTTCTGGTTGTATGTAAGTACACAAAAAGACTCACAATGAAATAATTTACTTGATTTGCAGTGTACTCCTAATTTATTGTCGACTTATTTTTGGTAATTTTCATTATCCTTGTATTTCTTTTGTATAGTGTATTGTATCACGTTTGTCAGAAATTTTCTGTTTACAGAAGAATCAATTTGTAAATGCGCAGGTGCTTTTTCTATTTCTTTCTCATTTCGGAAACTTGCCTGTTAGTCTCTAACATCTCTTTCATGTCCCTACATAATGTGAACAAAGTAGATCGATTAATATTTAATGTCATTCTGATATGTTAGCGGTCATTTTTTTTCAAAATGCAGATAATTTTGTATCTCATTTTTGTAAATAATTACGTACATTGTACTAATATTTCATTGAAAATATGTCTTCAGTTTTATTGGTAAGAACTTGAAAAAGTGATATGTTTTGAAGATATGATTTGTTTTAAAAATAAGTAACTGTAAAAAAATCATTTTTGCTGAAATAAAATCAAAAACTGAAATGTCAATGTTCGCTGAACCTTGTAGAATTCTAAATACTAATTTTTAATATTTCACTTGCTAACTCATTTTAATTTACTCCTGTTTGTCCTAACGATTGAAAAAGTATCTTGAAAATATACTTTTTTAACTTTAGAAGAAAAACATCAATTAAAATTTCCTACCAAGCATTCCAATACAACAGTTATGCTATATTGTGTTTTACACAACATCGCCTTTTCGAAGCAGATCTTTTGTTCACTAACTTACAATACCAGATTTCTTATGTTTGACATCTGTTGGAAAGAATATAAGTCTTATTCATATAAATAAATACACTATAAGTCATAGGCACAAAACAAAATTAGTAAGAACATATTTATGCAAAATAAATAGATTTTTATTGAACAGGTGGACATACATTTACATGTGCGACATAAATAAATAAATAGTGAGCTGGTATTAAATAACTGTCAGTTGATGGGATGAGATATTGCATTTATTGCGCAGTATTAGTAAGTTCTTGGGTCACTTGTCAACTTGTCACTTGTTCTTTTCTTGTTGGTTTTGTTGATGGTGTTATTGGTTTTGTAGTTATAGTTGTAGTAGTCGTAGTTTTCTGTCTGGCGTTGAAGTAATACAGCGGTAACGTAGTCTTGTTTCGTGGTTTGTCGTCGTTCGTACTGGCAGTAAAGTTCTTTGAAGCAGTATTGTGATCACAAAAGTACCGTTTGGAACAGAAGTACAGTCATGTAGGTTTTTCTTTAGTAGCAGTTTTCACGTCCTTCAATGTAACAGTCTTCGTTGCGTTTTTATACATTTGTCTTAGGGTTGTATATGCATTAATCACAGATGTGTGCACTCACGTTTTGGTATCATTAATAATTCGCATAGAAAAAGTGTCAAAGCCCAGACACAGGGTCGTATCACGATTAAACACGTCCGTTGCAAGCATATAGCGTTAGCACTTTCGTCTGCCACGAGATCATCGCAGTGGTCAACGTTTCAGAGAAACGTCTGCTTTTGAAGAACATATTAGGAAGAGTAGTTGTTTACTGATTTGAGGTGTTACTGCTATTACGGGTAGTTGGGTTAGAAATGTTGCAAGCGCGCGCGCAAGCCGTATTAATTTGAGAAACGGTTATGCTTAAACGAAAGTTGAATGCGTTTATAGTGGTAACTGATTAGATGGTATTGAATAGAAAAAAAAGCTTGCGTTGAGGTCTAACGGTAGCGGATAAGTCTCACTGTTGGGGGCGGTGTTAGTGTCGATGGTCTGCGAGTCAAGTCGGGAGGCGCGGGGCTAGTTCAGTGCGAGTGGCAGCGGCGTGTCGTCAGCACGTGAGGCGTGGTCCAAGCGAGCGGTCCGCGGTCCGAGGGTAGCTGTCCAGGTGCGGCGTGGCAGTCGGAGTCGGCGCCCGCCCTACGCGGTGGTGTTGGGCGCGGGGGCGGCCTGAGCGACCGCTTCGGGGAGCTGCCCTCTGTAGGCCAGCACGTGCGGGTAGGGCGAGTCCATGCTGCGGCCCCAGCCGTGGCCGCCGCCGCCGCCGCCGCCGCTGGTGTCGTAGTGGCCGCCGCCGCCCCCGCCGCCGTGGCCGCCCACGAACTCGTGGCTGCTGGAGTGCGTGTAGGCGTGCGACACGTGCGGGTGTTTGACGATCTCGTAGGTGGTCTTCTCCTCGCCGCCGCCGCCCAGCAGCTTGCTCAGGCCGACCACCGCCGCCAGCACCAGCGCGATCTTCGCCACCAGCAGCGCCTTGCCCGCCAGCAGCGCCACGCCCTTGAACGCCATCGCCATCAGGCCGCTCTTCATCATGAGCGCCATCATCATGAGGCCGCCGTGCTTCTTCATGCCGCCGCCCCCGCCGCCGCCGTAGCCGCCCTTCTTGCGGCCTGCAACAAGCAACGCACCCCGCCCGGTCACTACAAGCACCTCAACCTTTTTTTTATTTTATAATTTCAGACAAGTGATCTTCAATTGAGATAGTTTGCTTGGTTTGAGTTTTGATTTCAGACACTGTTTGTTATGAGTTTGAACATTATTTCTGTACTTCCCAGACAAAGTGTACACTTTTTTAGATAAAAATTTATTTTAATTATTTTTCTTCATACAAGAATGTCAAAAATCTACAACTAAAATCCACAAACTTTTTCATCTTACAGTAAATGCAAATATTCTTATTTACCAATAAAAGAAACTGAAGTACCCATTTCAAATAACATTATTTCCTATTGAAAATGCTCCATAAATATGTATTGTCTCTGAGGATAAAAAATGTATTCGTTTTTTATATTAAATATTTTGATATAAGTGAATGAATTTAATTATCTAATATATGATTGTTCAATGTAAATTGTAATATCTACTAAAAAAATTATGTAATTGTGATGCTCATGATCGTTCATGATGAGTCGTGTAAAATAAACCATTAATAAATATATTATACCCATTTGTTATGATTTTTACTACATCATTCGTTCATAACTGGGATGAATGTATTTCATAGATAGCGATGACTACAACATGAGTTTGATGGTTTTGGAACGCTAGTAAAATGAGAGGCACAAAAAAAACGTCCGCGAACCTGCTTTGCTCTACAAATTCCACATACATCAATCAAGATTTGACTCTGATACCCAAAATTGGGAATTGAGAAGTCTGTCTTCGACACTACGGGTCATTCTAAAATATCTCGTCAGGTCAATACATACGCGTCAGTTGAAAATGTTTTGGAAAAAACGTTTTCATGTAAAAATTGAATTAACATTTACCACATATTTTTTTATTACTTCGTGTGTTAACTAACTCAGACTTATCATTGTTTTCGGAAAGAATATGATCTAATATCTTTTTAAAGCTTCCCTACGCTTATCCACCAAAATAATAATCGCTTTATAATTGTTTTGAGGGAGCTTCTCAAGTATGTGTGATTACATTTTGCAATGACTTCATTTCATACGAATACATTGTAACATAAACATTTTACAAAAATATACCATTTTTCTACACTCACTTCATCCACTTTTTCATATATCTTTAGTTAAGTAAAAGATTAGATGAACATTAATCTCTCTAATTACTCTTTCTCAAAGTCAAGTTTAGATTTCCATGTAATATTATTTAATTACCTTTTGGCACTTTCGAATTCAATCATGATGTCTTGCACATTACTAAAAACTCATAAATACCAAACAAAAATATTTACACTAAGTGAAAAATAGCCACTGCAGTGCGGGATGAGTACATTACACTTACTACATTACCAATGTGATGTTCTATGTTTCATAGCCCTAAGAAAACCTAAGCTGGCTTGGGAGAAATATATTGAACAATAACTGATTGATCTATCACCTAATATTTCAATTTATAAGTTATACTACTCGCAATTTCATTAACGAAGTTGGCATAGATATGTAAAAATAACTACAGTATTAAGGGAAGTCTATATTTGAATGAAAAATACTGGTCATACTTTTATTAAGAAAATAACGCAAAAAATATTTCATGAGAAACCATTTTATATCACATGCAAAAATAAAATAAGTTCTATTGTTTAAATTTGGAAACTGACTGCAGCTTGTGTGGGTTTTCAAGCTACACACGGTAAGATTCTTAAACGCCTGCTGACGCAACATGCTTTACACGTGTGGATGACAAGTTGCCACGGCCCCTTAATTTCTACTCTACTTAAAACCGGTATTTATATTATACATTAAAAACATATCCATTATAACCAATATATCAATAACCGTGATATTTATGATATATTAAAACATATTTTAATTAAAATCGGAATTGGTTAGTAAATGACAATGCTTTGATGATAAAATTGAATAAGTTTATCATGAGTTGCATGATTTCGTGACTGACATTGCATGATGTAGAGTGCCATTTACACCGACGTATACAACTCAGAATTTTAAAGAAGCGGAATAATTTATTTCGTATTTATTTAATGAGAAATGAAGTATTTATTTTCTTGATATTTCCTTAAAAATAATTTCTCTACAGAAATTTCGTTTTCTTCGGGAGGAAAATGAAAATCAGTTACTGAAAAAAGTTTTAGAAATGGAACAAAAATGAAGTGAATTTGGAAATACTATAGCGATACGCATTATAATACTATTTTAGCAGAAAACCTTTATTATGGATATTGAGTCCTTATATATTTATTTGTTATATAGAAGCCATACTACTTTACAATCAAAATAATTCGACATATTAAAATATTTCAATTGTAATTTACAACAAAATCGTTTGTATCTTAAAAACTTTCAAATACTTGGTATTAATAAAACACGTATGCATTGATTCGTCAATGAAAATGCAAAATTATATTACCTTGTGAGCATCTACTAAGAAAGAAAATGATAGATTTTTTCCTCAATAAACTGCTCACCACACATCCAAACGAACCGTGACGAGTTAACTGAGGCGTGGAGGTACCAATTTTCTCTGGCTCACATCGCTAACGTGAGAGCGAAAAAGAACAAAACATTGAAGAATAAAAGAAGTTTGTTTTGGCACAGTGCCCTAGTTTTCTCATTTTACATTTCTCATTTTCAAGACGCCATTTTTAAAGTGTGAATATGAAGTTGAGATATATGAATTTTCTTATATTGAATGATCCAAAGATCACTAAAATAAAATACATGAGAAATTTCCCAATCACGAATTTTCTGAATAATTCATGTAAGTAGAACTAAGAGATACGAAATTTTACTTGGAAAGAAACGTGTCATTTTCAAAGTTGAACACCATGAAAATATTTCACAAGAAATTATGAATCATTACTAAAAGGCAGCAAACTCATAGTACAAATACATTCTTTCTAAGTCATTGCCAAACGCTATTACGAGTATTGTATTCCAGAATTGCGAAAAAGGAAAAACACGTCAAGGATGACTCTTTCGTTTTGAGAATACACGAATTGGTAATGGAGAGGTTGGAGATATTCTAAGTAAATAATCCTCCTTTACTGTAGAGTTCATGACATCCGCCAACGAAATTGCAATTCACTGACTACATAGGACATTCAGCAAAACAGAAAAAGAAATTACGATGCATATCTCCGATGCAAAGCCGATGATTACTGCAGTGAATCATGTTTGTTTGATTGTCTCGTACAAATGCGTTGGTCAGCATACAACAGTAAATTTAAATTATTCATGCAGATTTCTATTTTTTGTAAAAGAACAACACAATTTGCCTTAGGTTTTCCTTATCATTCTGTTGGATAAAAGTAGTGGGTATCTCATATACAGCTTTCAGTAAAATATTCAAAATAAAAATGTAAAATTAACATCTTCTGAAAGGGAACAAAGTGTAGTACAAGTAGAAAACCAATTAACTGAAGTTAATTACTTGATAGTTGAACGACATCGATATAGGTGAACCATGAAATCTCAGAGAAGAAAATTCGCAAATTTTCTTTAGAAAGAAACGAGATTGTACGTTGTTTGTATATGCAAACTAGGCTACCTTCTGAATTTTTTAAAACGATTTTTGATCTGTTTATTGTAAATATTGCTGAAATAAGTGATAGTTTAACACATTCACATCTTTGGTTTAGTTCAATTTGCTATCATATGTAGAGTTCGAAATGTATTAGAGAAGTAAGAATTGCTTCAGAGAGAAAAAAGGTGTCCTCAATTATAAACAAACGGGTTAATAAATTAAACACGTTGTTAACGTCGATATTTCTTTAGCAGATTTTTTCTGAAAAGAAATGTCTGAGGAAGAGAAAAAGTCAAGTATAAGATGGAAGCTACGAAAGAGTCTGGCACATTGTTCCATTTGCCTTGACGTTTGATCTGCTGGATTATCTTTATTATGAATCCGACTCACCGAAACATGACTCGCTGAAATTCTGAATAATAATTTAAATTGAAAATTGGAAAACAGAATGAAATTTAAATGGCGTATTAAAGGTGGCCATTCAACTTGTTAAATGAACCTTAAAAAACAAAGAAACTGAAGAGCCTTGAGTACAGAAAATCCAGCACGAGAACAAAGCACCTTAAGTATCTGGTATGATGGTCAATCTGGCATGACGTCTAATTTTATACGATTAATACGTGACCTACTTGCCTTAATAAAACATAGGAATCGCCGAAAGCTTGAACACTAATGAAAATTGAAACGCAAAGTGAAATTTCCAAGCTATATTGAAGATGACTCATCCAAATTGTTAAATAGTCAAGTAACAAAAGAAACAGAAGTAGCTACGCTGGTTGCTGTATTTCTGAAGTGCCCGTATTTCTTTGCGCAAAGACACAAAGCATCGGAAAGTACTTGCCCGTCAGATATGATGACCCATTTGTTACGACGTCCGGTCTGTTACGGTTAACACGTGGTCGAGTCGTGTGAACAAAAGCCTTTCGTCCGCCTAATGCCTGAATACCATCGACAATTTAAAATAAAAAACACAAAAATGAAAAATTGTAAGTAATTTTGAAGATAATTTTTCCAACTTATTAAGTCGAATTGTAATGGAGGAGTCATGTATTCATTATTGCTATTCACAAACATTGAACAAATCATAGTATACTGCTCCATGCGTTATTGACTATCGTTCAATAATACAAAGCCTTAGTAGCATTTGGTGCGTCTGGTACGATGTTAGAGCACGTACGACATCTGGTTTGATTCACACGACCACGTAAGACCTCTGATATGGCTCGAGGGGACCCTCTGGTGCAATGTTCAAACCGATCCTATATTTTAGAGAATAAGAGTGTCCGATCTAACATAACACTTGATTGTTACGATGTCCGATCGGCTAAGCTATTCTATCTGACAGGGACGTCCTGTCTGGCAAGACGTCCGTCCTGTTGCGATGTCTTCATAATGTCCGACCCGTCAGTTGGCTGGGGCTGCACAGCACCTGCAG